AAATATATACTTTTTTTTGTTATTGTTTGAATTATCTAACTTTATTGTTTATCTTTAATTTTTTTGCCAAAAATAGAATATGCACTATTGTTTGTTTACTTTATTGTTTACATGTTTTTGTGTAATTTAATTTGATCAGCTGTACAAGATCTCTAACAAATTTCTTATTTTTCTAAAAAGTTTGACAAAAAAAAGATCAACTAATTTTTATACTTTAAGTTATAATTAAAGAGAAAACTGCTTTTAATAAATTTTATATAATTTTTTGTTTTTTTTTTCTTAAAAAATTAAATCAGATTTTAGCTAATTGTTGCTATTTTCATTTTGTTTATTTTTGAAAAAAAATTAACAAAAAAAGTTAATAAAAATTTATTTTTTTAAAGTGATCTTTTTGGTCTTTTTTTTTTTTTTTTAACTTAAGCAGTTACACTAGTACTTTATTGGAATTCTTGATATTATACAGATTACAGAGAATTTTTCTAATAGCATTATCTGACCACCTTATTGGTATCTAAGTGCAACCTGCCACATTGCCTCAAACAGAAGTAGACAGCTTATTTGACTGCCATCCTACAATAGGATACCACCAATCTGATGACGTCTTCTTGTAAAGAAGCAAAAAAACAAAAAAAAGATTTTATATATAAAAAAAAACAGAGATATAAGTGTAAACAATAAAAAATACAAAACAAAAAATAAAAGGATAAAAGAAGAAATAAGAAAAAAGAAAGTATGAAACTTGCAATTTACAAAAAATCAGATAGTCATGATTTTAAGCCTGTGTCAGGCATGAAACTTGCAATTCACAGATATCAGACAATTACAATTATAAGTCTGTGTCAGGCTTGTAAAAATTATAAACTATACTAAATAGAAATTACTCTACTATCTTTTTATTTATTTAAATTATTTAAACAAAAAACCAAAAAGAAGAAAAAAACTTTGACTTTATTATAGAGAGTCAGTATAGAATACTGGTTAGTCCAAAGGCAATGTTTGATAGGTTTTCAGTGACTTGAGACACATGTATAATCATGTTTGTATTACTGTATTATTTCTGATCTATGTTATAAACAATTCTGTTTAGAAAATAAATACTGCTAACTGTTTTGATAATTTTATATATCAATCTTAAGAAGAGAGTAAACTGAATCGTCCATCTTTACAAAATTTTTCTTGAAGAAAAAGTAAGAATGCTAAATGAACCAACTTTTAGTTTTTGTAAGTTCTTAACCATTGTGGGTATTTCTTGTAGGTTTTATAGTTGTATAGAACTAATATATTCAACTTTGTTGTTTGCTTAATAAGAAACCTTGGCTTTCATTAACTACTTCTTCTATAGTTCTAGAGTGCTCTTTAAACCATCACGACAAGGCTGCAACTCTTTTTCAACTCTCTTTCACTGTTCAACAATGTGTGTACAATACTCTAGAAAGGTTTTCATAAAGTTTAATATATTAACTATATTATTTTCTGTAGTTCAGTTTTTTGGAAAGTTTGATTCAGATGATCATTAAAAAGAGTTCTTGTCTTTTTAGTCTTTTGATTTTTATTAATAGCTTTGTTGGTAATATAATTTTATAAACTACTATAGAAGAGTATACAATTGGCTATATATATAACATTCTATATTATCTATTTAAGAAGTCTACCTAAAAGTTTTGTATTAAATTGCTATATCTAATACCTTTATTTGGATGTTTTACTTTAAACTTTCTGAACCTGCAATTTGTATTAATATTATTAAGTTATACTTAAATATTCAGATTATTGTTTTAATCTTAAAACTATTTTATTCTTAAAGTTGATAAATTTTTTAAATCTTTATTAACCAAATTATCTTTAATAATTTATTTAATTTTAATATTTAATAAAAATATAATTTAATTAACAAAAAATTTTTTTTTTATGTTAAACTAGCTTTTTTTAGAGCCAAGGCTTTTTATTTAGTATAGTTAGAATATAGTGATTCACAGCTAAGGCCTCAAAAAAGTCTCCTTACATTAGAGAGTACAACTAGTCACATGTATACTTTTGGTGTCTAATTAAGTAATCCACTAATAGTTCTATACTAGCTACCATACTTGCAACCCAACTTTTAGAACCTCATACCTTATTTTATATAGTGTATTCTTAGAAACATCATTACTAGAGCCTTCCATGTCTCACATACAGCTAACTTAGTTTTATATAACACATTATACTTATCTAACACTTGCAGTTAAAGCTAACTTTAAACTACTACATTACACTATTTCTATTTTTGTAAAGTTTACCTAAATCCCAATACTTATCTTTCTGACATCTTCTTCATTATCTTCTACTAACTGCAACTCAAAACTCACAAACTTCCTAGATTTTCAATTCAGATGGCCTAGTATGATATACCTTGGTATCCTTTTCTTTTAGTGATTCTAATAATCTAGTTGGTCATATGCTCCTCTATATATCTTGTCATCTGATTCATCTGCCTGTTTCTATAAAGATGTTTCATAGGCTTTCATCAGTCTAACAGCACTATCAAAAGTTTGTGCTACCTCTTTACTTGAAAATTTCTAAGTAATATTCCATCTCCTCAGTTCCTTAGTCTTTTGCACCTAGCAGTCTTATTATAGGTTTATACTGAAGTCTTATACAATAATGATTATTAACATTCCTCTATGTATGTATAATGTTACATTTTGTATAAATGCCCCAAGCTCCTAATGACAAGTAGGACCCAACTTGGTATATCTGGATTACAGCTGTATGAGGCCAACTGATCAACAGAAGACAGTTTTTGTAATACAGATTAATTTTCAAATTTTGTCATAAATGGAATTTGAACCTTAGATCTGCTACTTGGAGGATGACAACCCAACTACTACACTAGGATCACCATTCTCTTAATTAACAAAATTTTTTATTATTATATTTTTAATTTCTTATATATATTGTCTAATATATTTTATTTAAATCTTATTTTTAAAAAACTTATTATAAAATCTTTCATCTTGACAATCTAAAACTTTAATATTTAATAATACTCTTTTTAACAATCATTTGAACCAAACTTTTCAAAAAGCCAAACTACAGAAAAAAATAATATAGTTAATATATTAAACTTTATAAAAACTTTTTTAGAATACTGTATACACATAATTAAATATTAAAATAAAGTTGAAAAAGAAGTTATAGCTTTGTGATAATAATTTAAATGCACTTTGGAATTATAGAAAAAATAGTTAGTAAAAGTCAAAGTTTTTTTATCAAGTAAACAACAAAGTTGAATATATTAGTTCTATACAATTATAAAACCTATAAGAAACATTTATAAAGGTCAAAAACTTCCAAAAGCTACAAAGTTGGTTTATCTTTCACTTTTACTTTGCTTTGAAAAAAATTTTGTAAAAAGTAGAAGATTTAGCTTACTCTCTCTTAAAGATCAATATATAAAACTACTAAAAAAGTCAGCAGTATTTACTTTCTAAATAAGTTAGTTAATAATATAAATCAGAAACAATACAGTAATACAAACATGACTATATACATGTTTTGAAATACTAAAAATCTAAAAATGCTAGCTTTAAACTAACTAGTGCTCTATACTGACCCTCTATAATCAAGTCAGTTTTTTTTTTCTATATAGTTTTTTGTTAAATAATCTAAGTAAATAGAAAAATAGTAAAGTTATTTTTATTTAGTATAGTTTATAATTTTTAAAAGCCTAACACAGATATAAAATTGTGATTGTCTAATATTTGTAAATTATAAGTTTTATATATATATATTTTTTTATTTATTCTCTTTTCTCTTTTATTTCTTGATTTGTATTTTTTATTGTTTATCTTTATACTTTTGTTTTGTTTTTTTATGGTGCCGGAAGCCTTAACTTGCCAGCAAATTATATATATTTTAAAATCTATTAATACTTTATACATATAAAATTTTAAAAAACTAAACTGATAACTTTGTTTTTTATAATATTCTCTATCAAATTACTGGTTAGTTTTTTTAAATAAGCCTTATATAAAAAGTTATAAGCATTTAAAATTAAAGTATTTGATTATGTTTTAACTAAATTGAAACATATAATAAACATGAATTTAACCAATAAAATCGCAGTATTTGATCACATTATTTATTTTAACCAATCATATTATAAAGCTTCGCAAATTTGACCCCATATTACATAAAAATTTATAATTCTTTAATTTTTAACAATTAAATCACAGATCAGGTTAATATAGAATAATTTTTTTTAAAATCGTCTGTAACTCGAAAGTTTGCCTATAAGATTGCCTTTTGCGTCCTAACAAAAATATGAAATTTCATTATATATATACACCTTCTAATTTTATATCTAACAATATTTGCATCAAAAAAGCAGTGATGATATGCAGTTTATTTTTAATGCAAATCATTATAAAACCATGAATTTTTATACGACTATTTTTAAATCATACAAAATATTAGATTGATTCTGCAAAGAATACACAGTTGAACTAATTAAACTTATGCACAAAAAAAGTATAATCATCAGTTAATCTTGTATTTCCAGTTCCAGTTCGGTTATCTGTCATAAAACAATAGATTCGCCCAATTAATTTTTGCACTTCAAGTTTGGGTATCCATTATAAACATTAAATCCCAAAAAATTTGATACGTAGTCTAATCAAATCATCTATACTGACCTATTTAGGATACTGTAAACTATTAATTATAAATTATAAATACGTATTGGGATAATATAAAAAGAATAAATTTTAATTTTAATTTGAGGTTTACAGAATTGGTTGTAATGATAAAACTTACTTGCCTGAATAAATTTTTATGTAAAGTGTGTTTAGTTAATAAAAATATTGTCATAGCGAAATTAAATAATAAAACCATAAACATAGTAATTACTTATAATAAAGGTTAAAATTTATTATTATTATGATTATGCCTTTATTTATTCATTCTATCATTTGCTCAATATTCTCTGGGATTCGACGATGTGATTTATACTGATTAACAGCCTACTCAGCAGCTACACCTTTTAGCCCTTTATCATATGCATCCATATATCTTCACGATTTACAGGAAAATTTGCGAATAGTGGTTACAGGAACACTCTTAAGAACTTCCGAAACAAGATTTACTAAATCCTTATAATTATAATTACATAATCTTCTTGCTTCTTGTTTCATAAAACCCCAATATTGTTCGATAAAGTTACACTCACAATGAAACTTTGGATAGCGTTCAAAAATGTGCCCTGCATTAATTACAGCTTCTTTTAACAGGGACCGTTGTTCAAGAAAATCGGGCTGCAATGACATGATTCTATGTGTGCAGCAATCCAACTTTTCTGGGCCATTATCAGTACATTTTTCAGAACATTTTTTGCATACTAGCAGAACCTTTTCTGCAGGCCAGAGTTTTTGCTCTTCAAGCACTTGCCTCAAACCTTTTTGCTTGCCTCTTAACTTCTCTTTTTGATAATTATTCGGAAATACTATCAGTTGCACATATTTTTTTTCAGTTTCATCAATAAACCAACCATTTCGCATCACCGGTTGTTTCCCTCCAGAACTCAAGTTCATCCTTTTTGTGATTAGTGCATCCTCTGCCATAGCATTATGATTAGTAGATTGATCGAAGCAAAACACACCGATACATCTGGGGTGCAATATTTCAAATACTGGGATTACTTTACTTACAAGCTGTTCAAGCATATGCTCTGCCTTCCAATATCCATTTACCTGAACAGAACGAATCACAAATGTTTCTTTATCTTTAATATACGGATTTTCATATAGCTGTTAGTCAGTTAGGCATAATAGTCCATGGCAAGGGCACAAAAAAGCAGAGACCATTATAGAATGTCTCAGATGTTTTGGGCACAAAATATTTTCACCTTTCTGAATCCAAATTCATCGCTGCCCATCGTAGCATAGGAATAACACTCATCATGTGTTATTTGAACGTATTCTTTCTCTCCTAAATTGAGCTAAGGTTCTAATACAAATTCTAATGACTCACCAACAAAATCTTTCATGTTTTTTTTATACATGAACATTCTCTTTAACCATTCGTTCCTATACGCCACCACATCTGGTCACTCATGACTGTCAAAGAAAATACCCTTTCTTCTCTCATCATATTTAAAACCCCATGAATACATATAATTTCTATACATCCTCTCTGATATAGTGTCTTTTTTGATATGACCAATCAATTTTGGAAATAGTGTATCCTCAATATATGCTTTCAAATTACTAGGCGTACATACTTCTGGTTTTTGTTGCCTTAACCACTCTATACAATTTTCACTAAAATCCTCGTCATCAATTAAGCTTTCGAGTTTGGTATGTTTACCTTGGCAGTAAGGAAGAAGCTCTCCTGTCTTTATGAAATAATTTCCCCATATCCGAATGCATTTAGCCATATAACCCCCTTTATTCCATATAAAATATGCAATTTGGTCAGCAGCATCCATTTTACCTTGTCCTTCTAACAATAATTGTATATATCGACGTATACTTAGAAAATGTAAATGATTATATGTAAAGATTTTACTGTTCTCCTTCACAGATTTTCTTATTAAACATCGTTGGTTAAGTTCTTCCAAACGGATACGTAAATTTTTAGTCGATAACAAAGATGAATCTGGTATAATAATTGGAGAGGGGCATAATGATAAGGATGCTGAAGTATAAGATTCTTGACAAGAAGTTGTTAATGAACTCAGTTGAAAAAATGTTTCAAGTTTTTTGATTCCTTTTGTATTCTCTTCATTATTTATTCTTTTTTTTTTTTGTCTCCACGTTGTCGTTCTTGAGGTCCCAGTGTATACTGTTCTAAGATGTTTTGCAGCATCCTTATGCCATCTGAAAATTTCATTGATAAGCCTTGTTCCTACTCCCTCGAATTCTACTAGTTCATTTTTTGTTCATTCTTCTTGCGATTCAATTGTGGTTATATTTAGTGACTCCATGAAAATTTGGTTCTTTTGGTTAATATAGCGGCCTTTCTCTTTTGGCAAATTACTTATTTGCTTTTGCCTTTTTGTTCGGAGTGCCATGAAAACAGACAAAGAAGGACATTTACCAATCAGTTATATTTTCTTATAAATGAACAGTGGCCCGAAGTGCTTCCAGTTCTTTGTCGTTATTCTATTTGCAATGTCAAAGACCCTTTTTATCATTAATCACTAATCACACTTTGGTTCTGCAATGAAAGCCTCAGTGCATATTTATCTATCCCATATAGTAATTATGCCAAAAAAGTTTTTTTTTTTTAAATCATTGCGTTTTTTTATATGATATAAATTAATCAAAAAAAAAAATTTAAACATAAATGATTATAACCAAAAAAATTGTGAATTATACCGATAGGAGCACTATTAACAAGACAGAATTAGCTCATACACGTATGTGCATACATGCATATATATATAAGGTTGATGTGAGTACTATATGGCTATGATCAATTTACTGAATACTTATAGCACCAAAAAAACGTATCTGGTACGTATGTATGTACTTACGTACTTTATGTGCTGGTTTTACAAATTTATTACCAGTTTATATTTGACCTATGTATTGATTATATTTTAAAACTAAAACTAGTGCAAATATCGAAAGAGCATAATATTGTCAATTACTTACGGTTGTATTTCTGTATTTATATAGTTGGAAAATGAAACTTCACAAAAAAATGTTTTTGGTTAAGTTGTAATTTTCGGGTGCCCTACTTTACTATTGGAGTAGAAAAAAATTGATTAATAAAATAAATACTCCACTAAGCGAATAATTAGCATAGCCAATGAGAAGTGGTGGGGTAAATTAGTAAATTCGTAATTTGGATAATTTTAATAGACTAAAAATAATATTCAATTAGAAGAAGTATATATAGCATCCAATTGGAACCAATCGAATGATGCAATATAATTGGCTATTTGTATGTTACACTGCATACATGAATTTGAAACAAGGTCACGTAACTGGCGAGTTAAGGCTTCCAACACCATATAAAAAAAATTTCTTTTTTTGTTTTTGGCTTTTTTATGAAAAAATGTTATTAGATTAGTAATGTTCTATTGTAGGCTGGCAGTCAGACAAGCCATCTATCTTTAACTAGAATAGTGTAACAGGTTGTACTTAGATACTATTTGAATAGCTAAGTAATGCTAAACTTAAATTCTATATAATTTGTATAGTTTCAAAATTTCTAATAAAGTACTAGCATAACTAGTGTTCAAAATTAGTGTTCTTAGTATTCTTATTAGAATACTATTAAAGATCTGTGCACAATTCAAAATTTTTGCTATTTTTTATTAAAAATATTTTATGTATAATAAAATAATAATAGTGTTCTTATATATACATATGTCTAAATAAAAATTTGTCAATTTGTACTTAATAAACTTGTATTATTATTGCTTGATTAAGAACTTATTTTTATTACTAATTAAATAAAAAATATATAGAAATAGGTTTACTATCTCAGGTTATGCACTATAGAAGTAAACATATATGTCAATAAACTATTATAAAAGCCTTATAACAAAAGAGTGAATCAAATACTAACAGTAATTGCATTAAATATATTAACTTTTAAATGCTTTAAACATGTACTGCACAGATTCTTAAACTACTAATGCAGCTATAAACCCTGGTTATAAAGTTCTTATATTGCCAAAGCAATCATAAGGCCTAATATAAAGATCTTTGCATTGTCAAAATAGCTGTAAAGCCTAACTAAAAAGTCTTTGCATTACTAAAGCAGCTGTAGAGCCTAATTTAAAGGTTTTTGCATTGCTAAAGCAGCATATAAAGTCTAATCTGTAGGTTCTTGTACTGCTAAAGCAGCCATAAAGTCTAAAAAGTTTATATACTGCCAAAGTAGCCATAGCATCTAACTAAGAGGTTCTTATACTGTCTGACTAACTGCAAAGCCTTTTCTTAGCAAAACAGAACTTACTAACTAATAATTTAAATAACTACTAAACAAACATAAAGATACTAGAAAGAAAATGAGTGAAAGATAAAGCTATTTTTAATACAAGGCAAGCAATAGCAAAAGAAAAATAAATCTACTAATAACTTCAAATTCTTTAAATAACTATTTGCCTGTTAAAGGCATCTTACATATATATAAAAAATCTATACTCTGACAACAATCACTTATTACAAAAAAACTAATAATTATAATTTGCCTTCTATTAGTCATATGTGATTAAGCTACTATATTATGAAAAAATCTGCTTAGAACTAGCAAACTATCTTGCAATAATGATTGCTATGTCACTTTGTTGACAAGCTTTTTATATCATTATAATACAATTGACAATGCAAAAATTTAAAAGTAAAATTATAGTATTTTTCTTAGCTATATTCATAACTTATATAATACTAATGATTTTTATTAAGAATATCGATGTGATTTATATATAATCTGAAATAGAATGTGCTCTTAGAAATATAATTATAATTGCATTAGGTATCATTGTTATCAAATGAATTCATGATATGCAGCATTAGTCAATAGTTACTCATACAGCATAAAGCAAGCTGACTTTTGATATGAAGTTTTAGATTACTATAAAAATGGCAGAATTCTATATGAACACTATTTAATTTACATGAGATAGAAGGACATAGATGCCATCAAAGAGGTTTTAACTCAAACATTGAGCATGTTATATTATATTAATCTTTAAATAATCAAGTCAGATTAGTATCTCAATTTGAAAATAAGACTTTTCAAATAAAAAAAGCACTTTTTTATTTATTTACAGTTTTACTTATATACTTTTTTTTTTTTTTTTGCTAAGGCCATACTTGTGGCGATACTTTATTGACTTTATATTGGGTTAGTTATTACAACTATTTTTACAGAAATGAGAGTATAGCTAGTCACACATGCAACTTTTAGTTGCCTATTTAAGTAGTCCGCCCTAAGGTTCTACACTAGATGCCGTACCTATAACCTACTAGGAGATTATCTATTTAAACTCTCTGATCATCCACCTTGTCATATTGGAATCATCAACTAACCTCCCATATATACCTACCTGGTATACCATCTGAGCAGTATGGTACCTACTCTTTTTGTACTAGTTCCCAGGCCATTATACATTCAGAGTACGTCACCTGCCAGTAAGGCACAGAGGGCCCCTGTTGTTAACTATCTACCCACTTTTAGAACACTAACACAGGCTACCCTTACAGAGTTCACTCAGATTCCAGTACTGACTTCACAGCATATCCTTAGTACTTTTAGTATACCCCTGCTTTAAACCCAGACTTCCAATCCAGATAGCCTAGTAGGACTGTGACCTGTTCATGGTATATTAAGGCAGGCCCAATATTCTTTTCCTTCAGTCTGAAATTTGACAGCCTGGTTGGTGGTACTCCTCACTCGAGGTTCTTGCCTGCTCGAATCCTTCACATTGGTATTCATTTTCTAGATCTAGCCTTTACAGTAGTACTATCAAAGATCCGTATTACCTCTCTGCTCAGAATTTTCAAGTGGACTCCAGCTTCCTAGTTCTTTAGATTTACACAGCCCGAGGACTTATTTTAGGTTTGCACTGCCCAGTACCAGTTTGCATTCCTCTGTGTAACAGGTTACACAGATGCCTCAGACCTGCCAGTCATGCTGATGCGACCATAGTTACAGGTATCCTATCCAACTGATCGACAGAATGCTGTCACCATAATACTGTCTATATATTAAATAGGTGATTATCCAAATTTCGCCATCAGTGGGTTTTGAACTCACAACCTACCACTTGGGGGTATGACAACTTATCC